GAAGAGCAGTGCATATTCGAGCACAGATACGTGAAAGCCAACGACACGCTGGGCTTCATGCTCATGCTGGCCGTGATTGTGGCCACGACGCACGTCGTGTATGTCAAAATGCTGTGCTTTGTTTACGACCACCGCAAAATGAAGCCCGCGCAGCTGGTTCCGGCTATCAGCCAGAACTGGACCTTCCACGGACCGGGCGCGACGGGCCAGGCCGCTGCCAACTGGATCGCGGGGTTTGGACGCGGTCCGACGCCGCCGACTTTAGTGGGCATCAGACAGGCGTCACACAACGCCAACCGGAGGCTGCTCGTGCTGGACGAGTTCAAGATGGAGAAACGGATAGGGAAGATGTATTACATGATCACGCTGGCGTTTCTGCTGTTCTGGGCGCCCTACATCGTCTCGTGCTACACCCGGGTGTTTGTGAAGGGAAACGCGCTACCTCAGGTGTACCTGACCGCGGCCGTGTGGCTGACGTTCGCCCAGGCGGGGGCCAATCCCATCATATGTTTCATATTCAATAAGGAGCTGAGGATGAGATGCAGAGCCTGTTTGCCGTGTTGCCTGACTACACAAACACCCATGGAGCCCTACTGCGTGATTTGAAGTGTTTTGCTCACTTGTTTTCACTGGCTCTGCCTGCTTGTCAAACATACAGTGGCCCCAAAAAGTATAGAAGAGACCTGGGAGTGTTCAAACATATCCCATATTTTTCTGCTTCATAATAAAGCCGTTTATAATTCTATTATTTCTCCCTAAACAGCATATTTCACAAAAAGTGCTGTTGTATCAAGCCACCCTATTCAGGAAATGCAACTTTAATTGAAATCAATAAAAAATAACACACACACACAAATATATATAACATAAAACACTGACAACTGTTCTATCATTTAGCATCCATTAATTTGATCAAAACTTTCTCATGTCAAAATTGTTTTTTGCCCTAATAAATCTTTTATATTTTTTATATTTTAAAAGATTTATAAGGCAATGACATTTTTTTTTAAATGAATGCCACTTCATATTTTGCTATCTAATGCAATGGTGTTCATTTATATTTCTGTGTCCTGATACTTTTTGGAGCCACTGTAGCATGTGATATTTTTCTTCTTTCAGAGGTGAAATCTCAGACCTGTTCCAATGTTGCATATCAGAAGATCCATATCCACATTTATGCAATCCACATATTGATGTAAATAATGTAAAAAGATGATTTATTTATTTTCTGGAGCTCTTTATAACTGATATGTAATATATTTGCTATGACTTTTTGTGTGAACTAAATGGCCAGTGGCTTTTTACTATCACATGGACTAAATGTGAATAAACCAAGTCCCTCGCACAGTCCCTTTAAATTGTTACTGGAAATTTGTTTTCAATGGACACAAGCAAATTTGATGGGTCAGTGTTGAGGAGACTATGATTTGTATTTTAATTAAAATAAATGATAAATGCACTGTGTTGGTGTGGTAAAGCAATACAAGAATCAAATGCGAGGACAAATGCAAGCAAAAGGCCAACGAGGCATTAAAAGAAGGGGATTTGTTGTCGTGTCAGACTAAACTGATGTAAATCATCTGGCTTTTGTGCATATTTTGTTAAGCCTCCATCTCATTACTTGCTCTTAGATGTTGTAGAGTGGGGGGGTATGTTTCAGACACACTCATCCAGGGAGAAATTTTTGGCTGCTTTTCCATCCCCCTACCCTTCCTACAGACAGTTATATAATACAGAGCCCTTTTTTCCTGAACCTCCCCTCAGCACAACTCCAGGACTACATTAATGTGATCTGGTGCGTTGCACTGGCAGAATGAATGCAGGCCACTAGAGATGTGAAATAAGATTATTTGTCTTCAATAAATGTAAACAGGGCATCCTGGGTAGCTGCTTTCTATGTAAAAGCAGAAAAAACGGAAAATATTTCTGGTTAAAACAGACAAGAGACAAGACCGTATAGCCACCATATATTGAAGGTGACATGGTGTCCATAATATTTAAGGTGATGATACACAGGGCAACTTTTTGAGCAATGTTGCAGTCAAAGGGCAACCAGGTGAGAAACAGGGCCCACGACCGATCTGAAGTATCCAGATAGAAATGTGTTGCCCATACTCAATGGGAAAGTGCCCAAGCAACATTGCTCAAAAAAGTTGTTTTTTTTCTTCATTGGAACAGATTCTGAGAAATTAAGCATTACAGTACATCACTTGCTAACCAATGGATCCTCTACAGTGAATGGGTGCCATCAAAATGAGCGTTCAAACAGCTGATAAAAACATAAGTAATCTACATGATACCAGTCCATCAATTAACATTAAGTTGTTTTAATTTGAAACTGTTGCTTTCAGCCAGAATCAAGTCCATAATCCATAATAACACTACCTCATGTGAAATAGCCCATCCCCTGTTATCTTCTCGCATAAAAATCCACCGACATATCTGTTTTGGACTGTTTAAACAGTGGTTGATCTGTGCATATTTTTCTTATGATTCAGAGATGACTTTTTTTTACTGCACAAAGCATAGACAATGGATAGATTACTTGTATTTTAGCCAGAAACAGCAGTTTGAAGTTGAAAATGTCTTAGAGATGAACTTCTTTATTACAAATACACAGGTTTTCACTTCACAAGACTGGAGTCGTGTGGATTACTTGTGAATTATTGTGATGTTTTTATCAGCTGTTTGAACACTCATTCTGACTGCACCCATTTACTGTGACGTGCTAGTTACACTTAATTTCTTCAAATCTGTTCCGATGAAGAAACAAACTCATCTACATCTTGGATGGCCTGAGGGAGAGTACATGTTCAGCAAATATTTACTTTTGGATTCATTATTCCTTTAACAGGAGAAATGTTGTTTTGGACACAACTGAGAAGAAGAATAAAAGTCATACAGGTTTGGAATGACATGAGGGTGTGTATATCTTTTTGGTTAACTGTCCCTTTAAACTTTCCCTCACAGAGCCTTTCTGATCATCCTTACATGAAATTCTAATTGAGAAATGCAAACTGCTCATTTCACAGAGAGAAACTGCATTATTGACCCCTGTTGTGATAATTCTACATCTCTAGAAATATAATGAAATGCTCCATCAGCTAATTGGAGTGTTTTATTTGAAATGCCTTTGCCATCCACGAGAGGCCCAAAGGAGAGATAGAAATAGGCCAATCTGCTGAGCTGTTAACACTACCATATTATATATGAACAAACTGTTTTTAGAACAGTTTCAGTCTTGCTTTATTTGCTGCCATACTGATCAGAATGGTAGCTGCAGCAACCAAGGGAAAACATATAGACCAAAGCGCTTGCTTTATTAAAAAAAAACATTTCTATTCACCCTGCATTCCCGCCTTGTGTAAAGACGCACCACACATTCTGCCTACTTTCTGGCCTCCTTCCAGCTAGTGCATTAAAACAGCAGTTATAGTCTGATGGAAAGACATACTTATTTGAAAAGCAGGCCATAAATATTTTATCCAACAGCGCAGTGTAAACTTCTCTCCAACTTATGGATGCAATGTACAGTTTGTTTTGTTCAAGCGATTGGATTTTCACAGACTCAAATGGTTTTTCAAAAGAGAAAGCCTATTTAAATCTTTTAGAAGAGTTTGTATAGTGGCTCTAGCAACACGTCTGTTATTTAACAGTGACACAATTGCTCTACACAGTGTTCCAGCTCCAGCACTCTCAGTGTTCTTCAGTGCTGCAATGGAGAGTAAATAAAGTGACGGTGGCCCTTTTCCCAGGACAGCTTCTTCACTGTGACACAGTGAAGTGAGAAAAGAATACTATAGTAAGATTTTAAAGGGGTCATATGATGTTGCTAAAAATAACATTATTTTATGTATTTGTAATGAAATGTGTTTATGTGATTTAAGGTTCAAAAAACACATTATTTTCCACATACTGTACATTATTGTTTCTCCTCTATGCCCCGCCTTTCTGAAACGGCACAAATGCGTTGTTTACATGAAGCAGAAGTAAACGCATGCATCATGATACTCTCTACATAATGGCACCACGCCACAGCATAAGGGATGAGGAGTAGAGGAATTGTTGAATAAAGTCTTTATTTTTGTTTTCTTTGCGCACAAAAAGTATTCTCGTAGCTTCGTAAAATTACAGTTGAACCACTGATGTCACATGGACTATTTTACCGATGACCTTGCTACGTTTCTGGACCTTGATCTTGGTAGTAACCTTGCTGTCTATGTGAGGGTCAGAGGATTTTATCAAAAATATCTTAATGTGTGTTCCAAAGATGAACGAAGGTCTTACGGGTTTTGAACGACATGAGGGTGAGTAATTAATGAGAGAATTTTCATTTTTGGGTAAACTATCCCTTTAAATATTGGTGACATTACATTTTGACATCCATAGAACTATGGTAAAGTAAGAAACTGCATGATTGTGCTATAGTTCTTGACTAATGAACTGTCAAAAGAGTTGGCACATACCGATCTGATAACAACCATGACACGTTGACCATGCCTGTATACTTTAAGTAGCATTTCAGGTTCAAATAGCTATTACCACCTCTAAATCAAAGCTTCAGAGGCCCACATCTCTTCATTCTCCTTTTTTCTCTTTAAGAATGCAGCAAAGTAGCAGAATTCAAGACAGTTAGGCAGAAAATAAAATAAAAACATTGATAAAATGCTTTTCCTGCCGTACTCAACACTGCTTTCTGTAAAAAAAAAAAATTTTTAATACCGGTAATGGCTAATATACTTACAGTATACTACCTTAGTGAATAATACTTTAAACAAGCTTAAGCTTAATTTATTTTGGTCATATTCTGACATTTTGCATTTAGGGTTTACATTTTATGACCTCATTCCCACAATTTACTTATCTTCTATCATTTATTATATATTTTATATATATTATAAAGATTAAATCAAATAAATCTGAAAATCAGTCAAGAAAAAACTTTTACATCTATACACTTTATACAAACATTTTGCATGGCACACAGGCAAACATCTTCATCAGAGGTACTGATCCTGGAATGGAAATGGTGGGAGGCATTTGGACTTGCCATCAGCTATGGTAATGCAGGCAAGGTTAGGCAGACAAGGGCATGTATGATGGAGTCTCTTGCCAAAGAACGGCACCTAAGTAGAAATAAGAGATTAAAAAACAAGAAGACAGGAACAAATCATAATGAATGTGAGGTGGAAAGTGAGGAAATAAACCTTGTGGCTCATTGGATGACAGTCTTCTCCCTCCTGACCCATTGGGATGCACATTCGCAGGCTCCGGATCCACAGGCTGACTGCACAACACAAGCCCCCTCCACACTGAGAGTCCTTCTCACATGCCTGCACACATACACACACACACACACACACACACACACACAGGTCTTAGGGCTCTTTCTCATTATAAATACATCAACATGTCCACATTCGACTCTAGTGAGAAAACATATCCGTGATGAAATGTTCAGTGTGTCCACCTCATGCAATAAAATAGCACCACATGACCAACCTGAAGCATTTTTAAAGCTATATAGTGAGTAGGAGCCCAAAAGTGGCATAGGATTTTCTCTTGTGGATCCAGGCTACTGATTTGCCCTGACAGACCATGTAGGATGATGGTCTCAGTGTGTTTGAAAATGTCATGCCTCCATCTCCACTAGGCCTGGGGTGTTCTGACAGCAGTCTCACATATTTTGGGAGTGCTGTAGGCTTTACTGTCCTGACAGGTGTGAAGGAAATGCATTTGAGCATCCCAACACATTCATGTCAAACAGCACGGCTGACTGACCCTAAGAAATGCTCTGAGAGAACATTACAGTGTTAAAGAACATATCTATTCATGCTTGAATCCTTAAAATATTACATTTATCATTTTATTACATCACATTATTTGTGTGTGCTAAAATCTGTGGACGAGTCATTTTAAAAGCGAAACGCAGAGCTTTGATTTGTTGTTGAATAATTCAGAATTAACAGTGTGCCTAATATATCAGCTACACCCTTAATGGTAATGTATGAGTTAAAGGTATGAGTTTTCACCCAAAAAATGGAAAACCTGTCATCATTTACTCACCTCATGTTGATCCAAACCTGTGATTTTTTTTTCTTCAATGGAACACTAATTATATATAATATGTATATTTAGATGCTTGTTGTTATGCGAAACAGCTTATTCAGGACAGTGCCAAATAAAAAATAACATGCAATTTTATGCATGCCTCTTTTTTTTTTACTGTTAACATATTGCATATTCTGCAAGGAGTATGTACACATATGAGCAGAACTATATATATATATATATATATATATATATATATATATATGATAGTGCCATATTGCTGATAATAAATATATTGTAATTTGTTCTACATAATGCTATAGTGAAAAAAAGGTCTATAGAAAAACTTACACAAAGGCCACAAAGACAGATGCAGTAAAGAACTGAAAAGAAATATCTCAAATGAAATGCATAATTCAATCATTCAACCAAACAAGACACCATCAATAATAATAATATTAAAATAATAATAATAATAATTTAGTGTTATGTTTCTATAGTGTTCAATCCACTTGATCAGACTGGCTCTTGAAGTTGTAAGGGTCACTCACCCCAGTGATGACTGCTGTCGAACCACAAGACACCAGCACCAGGCAGAGAAAGACAGAAATGTTGGATGTCATGGTCTTCAAATGCTAGTGCCACAGGTTTCTCTCCCCTGAAGAGGGGGGTCCAAGCACTACAAACTGCCTTCTGCTCAGACACACCAAAAACAGACTTAAAACAGACTAAAGTATAGTTTTTCTTCAGATGCCAATGTCCCACAGGTACAAAGGGCTGTCACGTAATATGTGAGTATATGTATGTACTGTATCCTCCAAAATGTGAGAGGCAGCTTCGCAGTTGTTCTGATGAGGGACGGATGATTTATAAGCACTGTCCTTCATTCAGAGTTATCAGTGAGTCACGTCTTCATACATGAAAGAGATGGAGTACGAAAGAGAGGAACAAAGAAATCCAAGGTAATACAGTTGAACTCCCACCAGCCTGACACACATTACACCCCTCACTTCCCAATTATAACATTCCCTTATACTTAATAATATATTTTCTATTGTCCTGGTCTGTTGCTATTTAAATGCATATATTATATGCATTTAAAACAATAATATGCAATGAGAAAAACTTGATTAAAATCCAGAATTACAAAGTCCTTGTGCATGCAGAGGACCTCAGATGATGCCAACCCTGAAACAACATACAGAAATACCAAATTTTGCTATAAGTTTGATTGCATCATATAATAATTGCTGTTAATAGTGTTCATCGTCTGTTTGATTACATCTTTAATAGCTTTTTTCCGTACATTTCTGCCATATGTACATTAAATGACAGTCACCACTGATAAGCTACCACTAAATACTGTAGAAACTTAATTTTCTGTAAAGTTGCTTTGCAATGATTTGTATCGTGAAAAGCGCTATACAAATAAACTTGAATTTAATTGAATTGTATGTAATTTTGCAAATTATTGTTATGTTAAAATATAATCATTTGACTTGTACAACCTACAATATTTCCCAAGGCTAACAAATCTGTTTGGACCTAAATTTCACGCCTTTCTAAAAACTGCAGTATTGTGGAGCGGGGGGGCCCCCCCCCCCCCCCCCCCCACACACTCCTGGTGTCTTTTTTATTTATGTTTATTCAATATTTGCTTAAATGAAATGGCAATGAAAAATGGTGAGGGAAAAAACTGATGAAGGGAAGCTATGAATGGTGTCGGTTCACCAGGCCAGGGATGGCAACGTCAGATGCAAATGTCCTTGAGCATTAACAACGGTGGTTCAAGGTGGAGAAGAAATTGAAAAGAACCATTACGCACAGCAAGGAATGCGAAAGAGCTGCCTGTAAACACTGTGATGCAGAGCTGCCCAAAAACATAAACTATGGTTTTTAATTGGCAGAATTTGGGTATGAAACTCTGAGGGTGCTGCAAACAACAGACACAAATACAAATTTCTTTCACTTTACTTAAAGAATGTCCCACCTAGCTTTTTTTTAGGCATTCAAGTGTTAAAAAAGTATTTGGGCACTTCAGTCACCCATGTATGAAAGTCTCTGTATCAGAAAACTAAAATATCAAACCAGATGGAATTATTGCTATAGACTATAACCATCTGTGTCAAGGTGAGTTTGAGGTCATGGATATGAAATAATTTCTCCTCAAGTTCACACAGGTGTCCCTGTCAGAGTAACCACAGGTGTAGTTCATCACTTTACTACAAAATACTTTTTATTTGACAACCAGAAAGTGTCCAAATGCCTTACTGTTTTGCTTGACAAGTGTGCTTATTATGCCATCTTTCTTTAAATTTGGCATCAAATGAAGTTCTGTCATGACAACTCTCGGAGTGATTTGCATGGTAATGTACATGACAATGTTAATGTATTTGGTCTTGGCAGAATAGATCTGCAATGCTGCTGCTGCTGCTGCTGCGGCAGAGCAAGTACCGAGACTTGTTACTGCCAATCCATCCAAAACATGCTGCTGTGAGCATGTAAGAAATACTGCTGCTGCACATATAACATGAATAACCCTCATAGCATACATGATCACCCCGTAGCAGATCTATACAGGTGGAGCTGGGGAAGGTGGAGGGTTTCTGGAGTGTGCTGCAAACTGCTACAGCAAGCACTAGTCATATATTTGAATGTTGAGCAGCGAGCTCATTGGCTACCAATACAGGAGAGAACCAATCGGCTGTGACATGTGATGATGATGTCATTATGTCATACTGAGTTAGATCTATCAGACTGCGCCATCTAGTTTCATGCCAGAACTTTGTATTTTTTACATGCATCTTAATAATCACACTGTAAATCTTACAATCGTCTGCAAGAGTGCATTCAGCACTGCCTTCATCCAATCAACAACCGGTGGATTGAACAAAGAAGTCATCCTACATTACGTTCTTTCCATCATAATACAGAAAAAAAAAACTTCTGTTACATTGTGTCTTTTAATGCCATTTTTTTATATTGTGTTATCTAATGCAAAATTACATTTATACATTTATGCTCATACGGACACTTTTGGCCCTGTGGACTTTCATAAACTCTCTTAAAACACACTTTTCACACTCTCACTAGATTATTCAATGGAACAATCTCTAATAGTGGAATATTTTCTGAAAATCATGAAAATTCTTACCACAGTGTCCTTTTACACCACATCTCAAATATGTATGTAATGTGTTTAACAGAATTATGTGATGAAAATTACTGTGGTGGAAATAATGTTTAAATGAATACATAATTAATTAATTAATTAATTAGTCTTTTGTCAAGGCTACAGTTAGTATTTTATAAATGTTAAATATACACAGTTAAATAATATTCTAACACTTTTTGCATAATTTGACAAAATTACAGTTTGAAATGATGCACAATAATATTTTGTTCACAAATTATATTTACCTTGATTTTTCAGTATTCTTTACACATCACGTCTCATATTTCACTGCTGTCTTCTAGTTAAACAAGTAAATAAATAATATTAATAATAATAATAATAATACAAATCATTTTGACACAATAAATATGGTTTATTTCACTCTTTGTTTAGATTATCATAGTTTAATTATAATAATTCATATTTTATGATGGTTTTTACTATTTAAAGATTTAAAGTCTGGATCTGGGACATGGATAAAAAAAATTAAATCTATACACATGCATTTGAAAAGTAGCAAAAATAAAAGGTCTGATAAAACAGTTTTAATGTGATCTTCATGTAACAAAAAGAATGAAATCTGTTTTAATAATCATCAACCATAAGAAATAAAAGTGCCCATATAAGTGTGACATTGTCTTAAGTGTCCAAACAGTCTTTAGGGCTGCTGTACATAGAATGTTTTACTGGACCCCTTCATTTCATTATGGAGCCTTGCCAATTATGTGTCCATCCATTTGTTTGTACATCGATCTGCCTGAAGAGTAAAACAAACTCAAAATATTTGCTTCATAACTGACTTGCCAATGGCCACTGACCCATTACATTTGACCTGACAAGTAATAACAGGAGCAATTTATTCTACAGCACAAAGACATTCCTAAATGTTCAAGCACATCGTTCTGCTTCTTTGCGGTTTGCACAATTTAGTGCACAGATGATTTTTTTTTAAAGTCAATTTAAACAAACCTCAGCTCTGCTTTCATAATAATAGTGGACTTTGTTGCCAGCACAGTAAAGTAGTTTCAGCCTCATAAAGGGCTTATTAATATCCCATTAGTGCCTCTCTCTCTTTCTATTTCTCTCTGTGTGCCAGGTGTTTGGCCTTCTTCCCCCACACTACTTCTCTCCTGCATCATCTCTGAGTTAAGCGCTGACATTTTTTGACTTCAGACCAAGAGTGACGTGAATGGTTAAAGAGGATTATATGAGCAGAGGTCCAGAACTGCAGTCTTGCATTGTAAAATTCAGCTATACATGTTTATCTAAGCTTTCTCTGTAGTATCATGGTTTTTAACAAGACCCCCATAATCCAGTGCCATAATCCTTTATTATGCTTGAGTAATCGGAGCAGATGGTTTAGAGACGGGATTTAAGCAAACGGCAGTAGAAATTACATAGCAGCTCTTTTGTAGCCTATGAAGGACTTACAAAGAATTAGTGGGGAGCATAAATGTTTCATGCTAAACAGAAACTTATTGTAAAACAGATTTGCCAAGGACTCTACCGAGAAAGAGGACAAGTGGAGAGTGTTCTTCTGACTCATCCATTATGTAAGAGGATATCTGATGAATAACATTACGTTCAGATTTATTGATCATTCATTTATCGTTGTAATAATCAGACAGGTAAGTTCCAAAAGCTAGTGGCCTGGCAACAATATTATATGGATAGAAGGATGGAACAGATTATTGATGGATGAATAGGATGGATCGATGCATAGATCAAAAGAAAAATATACAGATGGATGGATAGAATGATAGAACAATAAACAGATGGATGGATGGCAGGATAGAATGATAGGACAATATACGGATGAATGGATGGATGGAACAACAGAACAATTTACAAATAGATGGAAGGATAATAATGGACGGATGGATGATAGAACAACAGAACAATATACAGATGGATGGATGGCTGCATGGATGGATGATTAGAATGATAGGATAATATATGGATGGACAGATGGAACTATAGAACAATATTTGGATGGATGAACAGAACAATATACAGATGGATGGATGGCTGCATGGATGGATGACTAGAATGATAGGATAATATATGGATGGACGGATGGAACTATAGAACAATATTCGGATGGATGGATGAACAGAACAATATACAGATGGACAGAATGATTGAACAATTTATGGATGGAACAATAGAATAATATACAGATGGATGGATGGACAGATACAACGATAAAACAATATACAGATGGATGGAAGGATGGAACAATAGAACAACATATGGATGGATGGATGGATAGATGTAAATAAACATTTAATTTAGGTTGCATACATTTTCTTGCTTACAACTGTTATGCCCCGTGTAGGGTGAAGGCGCAACATGAAAGAGTACGAGGACATGGAGGAGTTTTGGAAAACAAACAAAAATTCTCAAGGGAGAATTTTAGCTTCAGGAGCCGACAAGGCCAAAATAAACAGAAAACAACTCATATTCAAACCCACAAAAAACTAAATAAAATCATTTAAAAATAAAATAA